TGTGAATTTAACTTACTAGCAGCAAAATGTAGCCCATTCTCCTGCCATGTTCTCTTCAAGGGAACTTCTCCTTGAATGTGTTTTCAGATAGTGACCCATCTGTTTAGGTTCGCTCAGGGATAGCTTTGTCATGATGACTCAGGCTACCCAAAAAACACCTGGTGACATGGGAATGGGGCACCACGCTGAAGCACAGCCAAAGGCCGTGACACCAGGTGGACAATGCTTCCCACATGACTGCAAGTCATGCAGGGAGAGCACGGCTGTGGGGCTAGCACAGAAGAAAGCTGCTTGTTTCAACTCCTGTCCACCCTGATGTCGTGGGGCTTCCTTGCTTCAGAGGTCTAGATGGGTGTCACACGTGGAGGACAGCTGCCTGTTCATGAGGTTGGCAGTCACGATGAGCTTGTGCGATAGGAAAGAACTAAGAGGAGTGTGACTCTTCCTATGTAGCCCTGTCCAGTTAATACCTGCTGGTTGAAGATGCAGCCATGGCTCCAAATGTGAGTGTGGTATCGCATCACCACAGTGCTTGGACCGGAATATTTTGCAAAATATACATATGGGTATATTTTTAAAATTATATTTATATTAGATATGCATATAAACATATATGCAATATATATTTTATACATATTTTATATCTTTATGCAAATACATATATACACAAAGGAAAAACAACTGCTTCTTATTCTATTTTACTTCTACAATTGGCTCATTTATTTGTAAACATCTCTGCTATCAGTTTTGTCACTGGGATGCAGTTCATTTTCTGGATCAGAATCCTGCAGAATGACCTAATCTAATTATTTTAATTCTTCTCTCTCTGACTTTGTACATCACCTCTTTAAGGTGGTGTTTGGACTTTATTTAACTGTGCTCCCTCTTGTGTGTTTTGGAGAGAAATTATATTCCTGTTCCACAACTTACGTCCTCCTCCAGATGTTCTTTTGTGACAAAGAGGGCAGGAGCTCAAGCAGATTCACCAGAAGGGAGTCTGACCAGAAGAGCATCAGTAGTAACTACAGCTTTACCAAGATTCACTGTTTTGGGGATGATTGCACTGGAAAGGATGGTGTGGCTCTGCTCTTGGCAGAGGTTTGCTGTTCAGCCTGCTCTACATTTTGCGATTAAGTCCATGCTAGTTGGAGGGAGAATTGCAGCCATGGACTGTGTGCCAAAGCTCAGTGATGAGACGGACATAAAATGGAAAGCTGAAACGTGTGTGAAGGTGGAAAGGGAGGGAGTATACTCAGTGCTATAAATTTTATTTCTAATTTTTCCCAGCCACTGGGCCTTTCAGCAGATAAGCGCCTTTAATATTATCATGGACATTTACAGTGGCCTTGATGTTTGCTCTTACTATCAGTGCACTGGATCTCCAAGAGAGATAATTTTGGAGGGTTTTGCACTGATGAAAGGACAATGACTGGGTAAGGTCAATGCAAGGAGAGGAGTGAAAAAAGAGGAGGGAAGAGACCAGAAATTCTTTTAATTTGAAAAAAAAAGGTTGAGGGAGATGGAGGCTGGTGGTTACCCTCTGTTGATCCTCTTAGTGGCTCAGCTGCTTTCAGAGAAGAGCGATTGAAACCCAAGGCTCCAGCAGGTCTCCACTGAATCAATAGTTCTGGGGCCTTTGAAATATAAGATGTTGCTTCCAAGTGAGTGAAAGCTAATCTCATGAGCTGTGGTGGAAAGAATGGCTCCTTTGCAAAGTGCCTTCCATGGAAAAACTGCATGCTTTTCCCTTTTCTGAAGCTTTTGGGAGATTTTTGTGGTGGGTTTCTTTGGGAGGCTGAGATTTCTGCCCAGCGTACCCCCCTCCTGAGCTAAGAGTCAAAATCCTTGTGGCTTCTGTGGCTCCCTCTGCTACTTTTCTGTTTATAATTGAAAGACAGTGTGTCCTTAACAGCTCTTTCTCACCTTCTCAACATTAATCTTTTTTTTTTTTTTTTTAAATAAAAAGTCCAGGTGGCTCCTGGATAGGTTTTTTTTTTTCTGCTTTTGAAATGAGATTGCAATTAGACATGGGCTTTTTTTCTATTAACTATCATGAGCTTAATATTAAAAGTTACTTTTTATAAGAATAATAGAAATGACCTGGAGTTCCCCAGCTTTACATCATGTAAATTATCCTCACAGTTACTGCATTTGGCAGAAACACCAAAGCAAGGAGAGGACTCAGGCACATTGAAGAAGGAGGCTCTGCAGGGTTCATTGTCCAGGAGGACAACCAGGTGATCTGAAATTTAAGCCTTAGATTTTGTACCTCAGCAGCTTGTTTTGGTGCATCAGCACGCTTAATGCAAATTAATCCCCCCGCGCTCTCAAATTCTCGCAAATCCTCTGCCTTATGAAGCACAACAGGAGGGGGAATGGAAAATGGATCTAAATTCTCCTATGGTGTTAGGTCAAAGTCTTGCATTAACTAATTGTAGCCACCCGATTGTTCTATATTTAAACATATGTGGCAGTGATGACATCATCAAACACCAAATAAAACCGCTGCCTTCTGCTTCCTTATTGTAATTTCCTTTCCGATGCTTATTTTGAAACTGTGCAGGAATAGGAAAGCAGGTTACTTCCTCAGACTCTTCATCATATGCCCAGGCATCCCTGAAAAAGCAGTAATTAATAAAAGAAATAGCCTTTTTAATGAAAGACACAAAAATTAGGTAGTCAGAATCTGTGGTATTAAAATGATAATACCAGCAGGGGACACAGTGGAATTTATTGATAGTACCCTTTATTCTGTAATATTGGAATTTATTCATCTGAGCCTTCATCAGGTTGTTGTGTTCATTTTTAACACTGATATCTAGTACGGATTACCGTTAGAAAAACAGGAACTTATGTTTCGAGTAAGGTTTCTTTTTAATGTTTCAATTAAGGTTTTTTTTAATGTTTCATGTCCAAATTGACCAAGAAGTGTTCAAATGTGCTACTGGAGCTATTTTCTTGGTTCCACTGTTCATTTATTATTTGTCTGTGGACAGCCTAACCTTAAAAAATACACGCTGAAAGGAAACAAATCTGATCTGTAATATCTAATAGGGATTTGCACAGACTTCTGTTTGAAATAGTGTGCATGGCAGCTGATTGCGCTTGTCCATCACCAGATGGACAGGTCTGGTGGGAAACCAAGCAATCTGGATTACCGTCAAAAGCAAGAGGAATAAGTTCTCCAGAAATATATGCTTAGTCATACTAAACATTAATTTTTTTTGCAAGTTTTGGTAAATTCTGCTAAGCCCAGATTTTACCATAACTTCATTATGTCTTCAAATAATATCAAATAATTTAGTCCAAACAGTTGAACTAAAGTCCTTACACCATTTATTCAAAATGAAACAAAAAACCCCAAACCCTACCCCCAAACTAAAAATGTTTTTATCACTTTCAGTCTGCCATAAATGCAGAATTTCTTTCTGCTTTGAGCTGTGGTCAAACCACATAGCAAAGTCAGCACTGTGTAGCACCAGTTCAATAAATAACTGGGCAGCTCTACTGCAGAGATGAGGAAAAATGTTTTTCTTTATTTTATATGGATTGTTTAGGTCTTTGTACTCTGTCTTCCTGAAGATTAAATAGCAAACACAGGCTTCATGCAAAGATAATAATTCTGAGTCTCAGTGTGAAATACAGAATAGTGCCTTTGAAAAAAAGAAAAGTTTCGTGTGGGCTTGGAACTTCTTGTGGCTGAGAGGAAAATAAGAAGCCACAAATCTGGGGACCAAAACCCCAAGTGGTTTTAAAACAGATAGAGAAATACATGTGTACATATATACACTCTGAAGAAGTTAATGATGAAAACTTTGACCGTAGACAGGTGGAGTCTCATTTATTAGGGTTTATTTCTGAATCACTTGTGGTGGTCTTGAAAATCTCTTTGCCAGCTGAGAATCGGCCTTTTGGATCTGTATGTGTCTTTGTGGACATCAGAGTACCAGTTTGATTTCCAACAAAGATAGGATGCTGAGGATACCATTCCTCCTTGCATTTTCCCTGCGACCTGAACCATTAAGTGAACAAAGCAGATGCAGAGGAAACTGTTCAAGGTTATGGTATGCAGCCTGGGAAAAGTATGCATCTCTGTTACCAAGAAAATACAGAAATAGATATTATATTAAATAAATTGTAGTTGCATTAATGTTGTCTCCTAACCTAAAAAAAGGCAAGCTGGATTTCTGATGGGGCTTGATGACAGACAAGCTGCTTGTCTGCTGTCTGAAGCCAAATTCCTACAAGAAAATCAAGTGGCACCTCTTACTGTAAAGGGGGAAAAGCATTTAACTGGCAATATTATTGTGAGCAGCTGCTGCAGGAATTTAGCAAACTAAGAGGCCTGGTAGGTCAACAACAAGGTTTCTTTCTCATTTGGTGGTGACTAAGAGGGGATGGCCAAGATGGAGAGGATGTGGCTGCCATCCAGCTGTCTTTGGGATGGGTACCGGTCCCCCAGAGTGGGCTGGGGGTGGCTCAGGGTTCAGAAGTTACCAGGGTTACACCAGCAAGCAAGCAAACAACTCCCTTGAACTTCATCTCGGGAAATCAAGCTAAAAATAGATTGCTGAGGCTTAAGGTTAAAACTAAAGACGTGACCAAGCAGTGCCGTTGAAAAGCCAGCTCTGCTCATCCTCTACAAACATCCAAGGGCTGTATTTCACTGCCAGAGCCAGTGGATTTGTTACTAGCTATAGAAAAAGGTTTTGTGGAAGTTGTACGTTAGCTAGCAACACCTTCTGACCTGAGAATATCGCTGATGGTTGGGTTTTCCCTAAAACACAGGGAGTTTTAGAAATAGCTGTTCAATTTAGTAATAGGCTGAGTATTTAGAAATGGGGTCCATACCGAAGTGCAGCTGATGACTGAAGAGGTGAGAGGAATTATTTGAAGGTAGGGTGGTGGCATTACTGGGTCCCCATGCAGTTGGGCTGTCACAGCTTGGCAGGGGGGATGTGCCCTGCTTCTAACCATTGTGTTTGCCTGCTTTACGTAAGGTCCAGTTGAAAAGTGAAGAATCAAAAACGTTTGCCATGAAAATACTGAAGAAACGTCACATCGTGGACACAAGGCAGCAGGAGCACATCCGCTCGGAGAAGCAGATCATGCAAAGCGCGCACTCAGACTTTATTGTGAGGTACTGTCCCTCCACCTTACACGTTGCCGTGACAGAGCAACCCACAGCTGATCTCAGCATTTCAT